AGGCAGGCGGCAGGTCCGCTCGGGCTGCGAGTCTGCCACGGACGCCGGGTGCCAGACCCGCAGCTGGGCTTAGCCCTCTTTAGAACTGGTATTTACTTAGTTCTACCTCTTTTTTCCTCTGTATTATTATTATTTTTTTTAAATCCTGAGGTAAGTTGGAGTGGCCAGCTCGGAGCCCTGGCGTGGCTTCCTTCAGACCTGCTCCAGACCTACGCTTTTGGCTCTTGCGCTGAAGTTCAGGCTGATTCTTGGGGTTGGTGGGCGCTACTGTACTCTCAACCATAAAGAAAGATACTTTTTAAAGCTCGCTCCGGTTGAGCAGTTCTCACACTGAGATCAAACAACAGCGGAAACTTCCCGAGACGGGAATAGGTCTCTAATTGTATGTTTTGACTGTAACGTAGCTAACTTTGGAAGCTCTGTTTAGGTGCTCTTTGCTCAAAACTGATGTTTCCCTGGCTATGGTTTATACACCAATTGATTTAAATAAGATTCTGCAACAATAGTTTGCTGCTGAAGGGAAGAGCTGAAAATCTGAAGGTGTGATTTAGCGATGTTTACTATGTCAGTTATTTATTGAGTAGAAAGAAGACCTACGAACAGACTTCAGTGTAATGCATAGTGACTACTTGCCTTATTTACGCTCCTTTAATTCATTTTAATAATAAAGTGAGTGAAATAATCACCATTTGCGCTTGTAAGAGGCAGTATTCCATTCTAGAAGTTCGTCCCTTTTGAGGGTTAGTTAATTAATTTTCTATCAACATTCAGTCTTTTTCTGAGGATTATCTCCTTACAAGCCTAGACGGAAGTGACTAATAGCCTTGCCAAAAGGGAAAGGAGAAAAACGAACTGAAGGGCAAGTTAAAACGCAAAGATGACGACTTAAGGGAATGTCTTTGAAGTGTTCTTTATGCTACGCTCCTGGAGTTTGAAAGATGCTCTTCATCGTGCTGAAAGTACGCAGTACTGACGTCTCTGCACAGAGTAGCAAGAATGCTTATCAAGGTGTCTCTACGCTTTTCACAACTTAATCAGTGCACATTTAAAAACTGAAGAGTATGTTTGTGAGGAAATCTACAGTGTTAAGCATATAAAAGCCACCTCCAAACAAGCCTGTAGTCCCTGTCCGTCTTTGAAATCTAAAATTCGGGGAGGGTTTTGGCCGAACTTTTGACAGTCTTTGTATATGCTGGAAGCTTTTCCCTTGACAATGGGCTTTTCTGGCATTTTGTTCCTGAAAATGGAATACTCCTGGCGTTCTCTAAGGATGGGAACAGCCATCCCTCCTCCTGTAAGGTCATATTTTGCTGCGGTATGCTGACCTTTGAGAAAGAATTCTCTTATGGCTGCTCGTTTACATCTTGCTGTTTTTCACTTTAATATCAACAAAACAGTGGGTTATCTGAACACAGAGTGAGGAATAGCTCAGTAAAATAAGGGCTTACTTCTACACTTAAGTGAACTTCAACAGACTGACTTATGTATCTTACACTACCAATGCCTTCTGCTATTGGAAAGAATAGGATTACTTTGCATTGAGAGTTCTCCGAATCATTTTGTTAGGGGAGTCATGAAAAAGTGGAAGAGAAGCATCTTGGTACTGTTTTAATCTTTCTTTCCCAATTATAGTAACGCTGTCGGTAGAGAATGTGGAGGAGCGTTGATGAATGATGGCTGTTTAACACCATGGGCATATCATCCAAATCTTGTTTTGATTTGGGGATTTCAGATGGAACAGTTGACTACGAGGAGTAGGACTGATTTACTAAAATCAAGCTCTTAAAATTTGCACCTACATGCAGCACAGAGGCTTTTAAGAATGCAAACTGTATCTTCATGGTGAAGAACAAAGGCACCTGGGTGTCTGTTATGCGACTTCAACACATAGCTGTTAGTTTACTGAAGTTTGCAACAGAAAATGCAGTGTGCTTCTAATATGGTACAGCAACTCTTAGAGAGGTGTAAGTTAACTTTTTCCTTCTGTATCTGGAGAACAGATGATATATTCTATGCCTGACTTTTAAAATTTGCAGTTTCAAAAGAAAAAATGCATCTTGTGCACTCTCCTTGGCAATGCCTAGTTGTGCTATGCTTTAAATGGCCAAATTTCACTCTACGTGAACTCAAAGACTAAACGTAGGCACACAACAATTCTGTGGTTTATTTAAGATCAGAAGAAGCAAATCACTAATTCATACATTAATAGCCTGAGAGTTTTAAAAAAAAAAAAAACTACTGGACACTTTCAGTTTGCACTGACTTCACTGGGGTATATAGGTACTTAATGTAGAAAAATGAATACAAAGCAAATTCTTCATTTTAGAACAGGTCAGATTGTTTCAGTCCTTGCTTCCTCTAAGGACAGGAGTTCGAGTTTTACTGCATGCTCCTGAGCTCTTTAGCTTGTCTTCTCCCTCTCAGAAACAAATTGCCTTAATTACAAAACAGCATGCTTCTCCCATAACAACTCACTTGTGCTTCTGCCCTTCTAATGAACAGAATGAGTGTGTAAGTACAATGACATGAATTCTATTGTTCACGTTGTATTCAAAGGACCGTGTGTTATGTGCAGCTTGATTTAGTAGACGTGCGGGCATTTAGGAAAGAAACAATCTTCTCCTAAATGTATTTGAACATCAAAACAAACTTTCACTTTGGAGAGAGAAAAGGCAGCAAGTAATTCCATTATGCGTTACATCTCTAACGTAATTCTAAATCCTCCCTACAGCTCTTATTCTACTCTATTAAAATAAAAGAATGAATTGCTTAGTCTTTGCCCTGAATGATGCCAATACTAATTGCTGACTGGCTTTTAATGTTACGTGGCTCCTAGTAAAGACTCATGTAGCAAAGGAACTTGTGAATCAAGACTGTATTTTGTAATATATGATGACAGGTTCACTGGATTTGAAGACTGTAGTATTCTGTAAGGTAACAGAACAAGTGGCTTGGTCTGTGACTGCTTGGGAGCCATTTTGTCTATGGATAAATCTATATGTGTGATCTGTGTTTAAAAATGGGAAAGACTTAAGCAGGAGGTTCTTAAGGTTTCCCTTTCCAAATACTTTAAACCTCAAGAAAAAGCTCTAGAATAGGCTGTGCTTTTTAGTAAGTGGTGTTACAGTGAGAACCGATGTGAGGATAAATTCCCAAGTATAGATGGGTATGCCCTGTGGCTCTTAGTCAAATGCCTTTTGAAACTATGGAGAACTCCCATGCAATATGATTTGTTTTAAATACTTTTATCGACATTTATGCTAAGAATCTGACTTCACGGTAGGACATATGCTGTACTTTATCTGTTTTTAAAAAAAAAAAAAAAATGTGTGTGAAGAATACCACAGCTGTTTGTATTGCCAGAATTGGACATCTACCACTTAATAGACAAATGCTCTTATTCACCTGTCTTTGTAAGTCTGAATTCAGTCTTTGGCTTGTATATCTAGATCTAGTTATCGCTTTGTTTTGTGCCGACCTTCGCTTTGCCTGTCTGTCCAATCTTGAAACAGCGTCCTGTCTATTACAATGGCTAGCTGATAAGATAATTGGCAGAGGGCAGGAAGGAGGTAGAATAACATGATAAAACAAGGGCATCTTAACCAAACAAAAATGGAATGTGTTCTCTAGTCTGGCTACAATTGCCTATGATGCAATAAGTGTCTCCTGTACATTAGTTTAAGCCTTTATGAAAAGAACCTAAGTTCTCCTTGACTTGTCCTTCTGGCTGTTTCCTATTAGTGATGCTAGTTCTATATATCTGAAAACTAACAAGGCTGTATTGCAACTATGCATATAGGAGACAACCTGGTCCTGGTTGAGGGGATGGGAAGGAGGTTAAAAAAAAAATTAGAGATTTTTTTTTTTTTTTAAGAAGTGTGTTGTAATACCCTGCCAGAGTAGTTAGGACTTTAGCAATAACACCTAGATTAACTTCTTTGTCACGTTATATTGCCTTTTAAATTGCATTTGTCTTTAGATATAGTTATATGGAATATCTAGTACTCATGCTATGGAACAAATATCAAAGTTCCCTTTAGGAAGGGAACTGAGTGTTCAGATGAGTTATTTCTTAATTTCAAACAACTGTAGTTGCTGCGCCCTCGAGTCAATTGAAGATGACTGAACTGAAACTGAGATTAAGCGCCTGAGAATAAATGGCGTTTAAAGTGATGTTTTGAAGACATAAAACGATCATTGTCTTCTAGATTTGAAACTAAATAAACTTATTCTGCCTATCACTTTTATCTTTTAATCTGTTTTACCATAAAAAGTATCTGAAACTTTCATCTAGCTCTTAGATCCTATATGACCTGAGCTTCCTTGGTGATGAAGGAGTAATGGAGAAAAATAGCAACGTAAACGGCAAGTGTACAATCAGCTTTGTCTTGGGTCTAGCTTGATGAGTGCTTACAGGGCTTTTTATGCTCGTTCTTCTAAGATACGACTGCTGTAAACATGGTGATGTTGCATAGCTGACAGACACCTTGGGTAGGGATGTGGATGCAGCATGCTAGGCAGATAGAGGGAAGTGAAGGTGGCTGGATGCGCCTGCCCTGTGGCTGAGGGACCAAAGGAGGAACTAAGGAAGTGTCATAAAATAAGAGGACTGACTATCTTCTAGGTTTCAGGACTCCAAGAGCCTCATTGTAGGTGGTATATGGATGTTCTACTTAAGTATAAGCTACCTTGCTTTTTAGGTGCTGGAAATAACTTAGAACAGTTATAAAAGCAGTAACAAACACCTCAAGTATTTGAAATGCTTTAAAAGTTAAGATTATATTTTTGGGTTTACAACTTACAATCAAACCTGACTTCTTTGCTTAGACCTCCACCTTGCTGCTGAGCTTGGGAAGACTCTACTGGATCGTAACACTGAGCTAGAGGAATCTTTACAGCAAATGTATGCAACAAATCAAGAGCAACTGCAGGAGATAGAGGTAAATATTTAAAGGATCTAAGTGTTAAAGCATCAAGACTTGCAACAGAATAGCACACAAGTTGAGATCTGAGTTTTTGCATATCTGATGGATGTTTTCAAGAAAAGCACTGAACAATCTTTAACTGCTTTTGATAGTTTGAAAATCTGAGAACCTGTATAGGCTTAACCATAGTTAGAACTGTGTGTCGTTAACAGAAGCTTTGTCATTAACCTTCTTGTTGTCATTAAGCAAGCCAAATCCAAATGACTGGTATCTGTTTGTACAAAAAAATTACTTGAGGAATTTGCACTTTCCTGCACGTGCCAGGTGAAGTTTCATTAAATTATATGAAAATGTGATGAATAAATTTAAATTATATGAAAATTTTAATGGTTACCACATTAAATCTAACTGCTTGATAAGTGCAGGAAGGAGATCTAAATAAAGTGTACTGCCAGTAAAGAATTGGGCTGTGGTAAAAGGGAATTGAAGCAAATTTCAGGAAAAGAAATTCCAGCAAAAACAAACACTTGACCAGTATCTAAATACAGGATGTAGTGGATATATTCTTCTGTATTTGCCAGGGCAAAATCCTAACTGCCCTTTCAAAAACCCTCCGTTTCGTGCTGCCCTTTTTTAAAAACAACAACAACAACAACAAAAACTAGCCATTTTTGGCAGTTTTCTTTGTTTTGATGTTGATTGTATTCTTACAGCCTAGTGTTAGTCAACACAATGAAGAAATTTCTTCAGCTTTTAGAGAGCATTTCATGGTCTCTAATCAAATTATGAAATATTCAGTACCTGTTTAACTGACAACATATTGAAAATGTACTCAGCATTTCAGTTACCTTTTGGTAGGAACCAACATTAAATTATTATAAAATTTAAGAGTCCACTGGTGCTAGTAATACTTAGAGTTATGGACTGTGTGTGGCCTTTGTACAGCTGCAACTTGGACTTAAAAGCCCTTATAACAGTTGCAGGTAACCTTCACAAACAAACAAAAAAACCCTCCAAGCCTGAAACTTGCATATATATTAGGTGTTTTTAAAAAGTCATGTTAACACAAATGCAGCATTTTTATGAGGTAGTACACAATCTCTGGGTAATGTGGTTTGTTTTTTTAAAGACAGTTGTTTTATACCTCATAGTCTGACTCTTTCCACTATTATGTGCTAAGCATCACTTCCATTATCCTCTTCATTCTGTGATGCAAAGGTTGGAATGGCCTAATGCATTCAAAAAAAAAATTTTTTTTAAATTGTATTTATTTATTCAGAGGCTTGAAATAACTTGAGGGCATAACTTTTTTTTTTAAATGGAAAGATTGATCTTTAAGATCTAAGGAACATAAGCACTTATAAGTTGTTATACAAATACTGCTTTACTTCAGCTTCAACTCCTCTATGGACGGTTGTGTTTAAGGAAATGTTTAATACAGTTAAACACACGTTTGGAAATAATGCAGCCTAACTTTGCAATAGATAACTATCTTGGCTGACTGGGTGTACCTACCTAATCAATAGCAATATCTTAACTCTGTCTTGAAATATGGAGAATAAATGAATGCAACTTAGCAATAATGTATAGAAATAATGTAGTGCTATTCAGGATACAGTTTTGTTTGGTTTAAGCAAGTTCATCTGTTCAAACTCTTCTGGTGGCTTAGTGTTCGTTCTCTACATAAATGTAGAGAGCCTCGGCACAAGAAGAGCTCAGAAGTGTCCTTCCAGTAGTAATCTACAGCTGATGTGCTGCAGGGTCAAGTACTTGCACATCCAGGCAACCTCAGGCAGCGACTAACTTATTCTCTCGCTAGCTTGCTTCGCTTAGCCACTCAAAAACCAAATCAAGACTTGCGCAATACCTGCTTTTGAATACCTATTCAAAGATACAATACTTACACCTATTTGATACCTATTTCTTCCCCGCCCATGCTTGTTTCATGTTTGGGGGGAAGGGAGGAAAGGGAAGAGGTGTGCATTGAATTGTCCTTTTAACTTTCTCCAAGGGGAGGAGAGGTGAGAGAAGAGTGGGGTTTTTTGTTGTTTTTTGTTTTGTTTTTTGGAGAGGGGGTATTATTTCTTGCTGTTGGTACTTCTGGCATCTAAGTAGCACCTGCACCTTTATTTGGCTGACTTACTGTGTCAAGTCAAAGAACCTGTAGACAGAACATATTCATAGCTGCTGTAATATGCAAAGTGCAGTACTTCCATCTGTTAACAGCAGTTCTGTCAGTTATCCGCACACTTTGTCTTCTGCGGGCACCCAGGCTCCCCCACTGCATGGGATACAATGTGCAAGTATCATATGCAGTCTCTAGCCTTGATGTTTTAAAGTACTCATCTCTGCAACCTAGAAGATGATTTTTCAGCTGTTCCTATAACTACTCTGTTAGGTTTTTGAGTAGCGCCTTCCAGTGCAATAAATCAAGGCAACACGTCTTTGGGCTTTTCCTGTTAATTCGCATCTTATGGGTAGCAAAGTCTCGGACTGGCAAAGAACCCATTCTGGAATATGGTACTACCTTGTCTGCCCTGAAAACGAACGGTCAGGGGCTTTGGGATGCTTAAGATTACAGCTGATATATTAAACGCTAACGCGTTAAGCGTTTTGCAGCCTTGAATCGTTATATCTGACCTCTGTGCTGACGCGTGTGCCACTAAGTAATCATTGTGGATGTAATAAAGGCTGGAGTAGATTGAAAGGGCAACTTTATCCCTGTTTGAATCTTAGCTCTCACCATTCAGAATTAAGGAAATGCTGACATTCTCCTTCTGTGATGTGGTGGAATGCAGGAAGTCCCAGTTGCTCCTTCATGTTAGGTGCTCAGCTGTAGGGAAGGTAGAACAAAGGAGAAGTTCTAAAATGTTTACTGCACATCTATACTTGCTTTTGGTAGCCTGATAATACTGGGCCAATTTGAAACCATCATTGCAGGTATCTGAGACACAAGGTGAAGAAAATGTTGCTTCACATCCTCCATCCTGTGTTCATCTAAAACTTCTGCAGAAGCGCACTGTAATAAGTTGTGACACCCTCAATCCAGCACCAAAACCTTGGCTTGTGTGCTTAGCTGCTCTTGTACCGCTGGAGAAAATGGAAGGATTTCCCACCTCCTTCTGAGAGTGATCAATAGGGAAAAGTTAAACTGAAATGGGTCACGTTGAGATGCTGCTGCTAATCCATGTACTATTCTTGTGCAAATCTGCTGTCATGTGCCTACAGGCTGCAAAAGGATCTAGCCAACTGCTATCCTGTTGATCTAGAAGATTGTATGTAGCAGTTCCTGGTCCTGGATTAACTTATAATCTGTTCTTACATTGCCTAAAATGTAAACCCATCAACCTTTTAATGAGGTGAAAGGTTAAGTAGAGTATTGGGAGTGTTGAGTATGTAACAGGCCTATGTAAAGAGAAATACTTCTTGACCTTGAAGTCTGTTGGATGTTCGTATTTGAAGTTTACTTTTCAATAAGTAGCATGTAGCAGTACAGAATATAGTGCAAGAATTAAATTACATATTAGCATAAAATTTTTGAGATTTAAAGGGTTGGGTTTTTGGTCTTGATTTTATCCTGTACCTTGTGTGAGACAATCTGAAATACTTCTGCTCTTCAGAGCTTTAGGTGGTTGTTTACTGCTCTTACACTGGGAATTCCAAGCTTTCTGAAATTATCCAAGAAACTTAACAGGCTTTTTTATTGTGAAACTAAAGAGGATTGCAGGGAGAGCAATTCATGCAGAGCTTTTTATTTTAGAAAGGGGGGAGGGGCAAGGAGACCTTTGTTTGGGGTTCTAGAAACTGGAATAGCTCCTCGTGGGTAATTAAAGATGGCATTCAGTAACTTAGTTCTACTTCCTGACACATAGTAGCCCACAAACTATGTCTTAAGTGTGACCACAACCTGAATTTTGTTCTGCTGAACTTAATGCTGCTTCAGAGTATGGAAAAAAAAATTATACTTACTGGAAATAAATTATGGACAGTGCCACCCAATATTACAGTTTTTATGCTATGAACACTTTTGGGCCAACATTGTTATAAAATCTCTGATGGACCTCACTGATACTTTCAGAAGGTGCTCATTGGATAGTTACAGGCCGCGTTGAAATCTGGATTCATGGCTGTATTAGCAATGACTGCAGTACAGACATAACCAATAACCAGTCTAGAAATACTACCGCTTCTTTGGTACTAGCAATAGCTTAGTTGCAGCAACTATAAATAAACATAGTTTGCACAACCAAACCAAACTCACTCGCCTGGATAAGCATTTTGTTGATTAGCCTGCACTGACCTCCATGAGAAAGGCAAGATAGCCGAGTTACTGGTGGTACTTTTTTTTTTTTTTCCCCACTTGTACACTTAGCAAAGCAACTGCTGCAATCTGGACACTTTTGAACCCTAGCAGTTTCTCCACAAATGTGAGTAAAAATGCAAAATAACAGCAATACTGTCTTGCAGTACCTCACAAAGCAAGTAGAGCTCTTGCGTCAGATGAACGATCAGCATGCAAAGGTATATGAACAGCTGGATGTTACAGCGAGAGAACTGGAGGACACGAATCAAAAACTAGTTGCAGAGAGTAGAGCATCGCAACAAAAGATACTAAGGTAATGAACTTTTAGTAACGCTTCCTTTCCTGCCTCCCCTTCCACCCTTATTAAGGATATGAAAATGAACAGTCTGAGTGAATGTGTAGTTAATGGACGGCTGTCTGTCCACTGTTACTCTACTACACTGTTAAATTGAAAGGATGGTTTTATTTAAATGTCTTTTGTGGCCAAAGAGCAGCCTTCAGAGAAGCAACTACAGCGTTAAGTAGATAGTAACTTATCTCATCCTCTTGACTAAACACCAAAGCGCTTTAACAGTACTGTCCTTCATTTTTAGCTTGACAGAGACTATTGAAAGTCTGCAAACACACATAGATGACCTGCAAAGACAAGTAGAAGAATTGAAAAAGTCTGGACGAGGCCGGATGAGCCACGAGAGATCTGACCAGCCAAGATCAATGCATAGTTTCTCATGTTTGAAGGAGCTGTATGACCTTCGCCAGTAAGACTCTCTTACCTTGCATAGTAAAGAAAATGATAAAATTATCTTAAACAAAGTTTAAAAACAGAATATGCAAGTACAGATGTAAAACAAGCTAGGAGAAAAACATCATAATGTCCGCGACTAGCAAAATATCTGCACAGTCCTGCACTATGTGGTGTTGACATTGATATAGACTGTATCAGTCTGTGTGGAAATGGAACCTGCAGTTCCTCTCCTTGTTTTGAACTATGTTCCCTCCCAAAGTCTGCAGCTATATCAAGCTGTAGTCCAGAAAGCTTACAGGGATCTGAAACTCCTTCTTTTCTCATGCTGCATCAGATAAAAGCACAAAAATAGATTATTAGAAAGTAAGCATCCTAAGTACAAGATCTCTTCTGTAACTTTCCCTTTCCCTGGACTTCTGTGAATATCTCCTTTTTGAGGAAGGAGAGATTCCTTCAATAACTTTCCTGAACTTAAGCTGGTAAAATGGTGCCTGGAATTCTGGCCTCCTTTGGTGGGGGGTGTGTGTGTGTGGTGTTTTGTGGTGTGTTTTTTTTTTTTTTTTATTTAGAGCAGTTCTGCTGACCTAAATTGCTTTAGTGTGACCATCAGGATGGTCACTTGGGGTGAAACTCAAAATAGCTTTAGACGTAAAAGATGATCTCCTAAGTGAAGCATCTTCAGGGAGAACAGGCTTTTGTGCCTGGACTTCCAGCACTACATGAAGGTAGGACTGAAGAATGAATAATCTATACATCCAAAGAGGAGTTATCTTCATAATCTGAAAGATAAATGGATGCCTTCAAGCTGCCAAGGGTTTTATGGAAATACCAGCCTACAGGATGTGGCTTGTCAATTTTGAAGCTTGTTTCCACCATCAATAGTGACACAAGTTGTAAGAGCCGAGAGCTGGGGAAAAGCTTAGTGTCAGGAAGTATACTGCATGGTACATGGAAGTAATAGTTTATGCACCTGTGAAGAAACAGCCTAGGCTCCCTCTTAAACTTATTTAATTGGTTTACTTATTCAGTAAGCTTATCCATAAAACTTAAAACTGTTTTTAAAAAAAACTGTCATTCTGCCTGAGCTGGGAGGCCTGATTTGATGGCATAAAAAGCATTCACAAACTCTGTTCTGATTATTCAATAGACTTAGTTTATTAAAAAGACCACTAGGTATACTTAGCGGTATATTATTAGCTGACAGTTTAAATCCGTCATTAGTTACCTAGGACAGGAGAACTTTATGTAGGAGGTATGGAGGGCTATATTTTTCTACATCTAATAATTCCTGTTTGTTTGTTTCTTTAGGTATTTTGTTTATGATCATGTGTTTGCAGAAAAAATTACTTCAATGGATAGTCAGCTAAGCCCCCTAGAAGAAGAAAATGAGAACTTAAAAAAGGCAGTGACAGTTTTGCAAGCCCAACTTAACCTAGAAAAAGAGAAGAGGGTAACAATGGAAGAGGAGTACAGTCTCATGGTAAAAGAAAACTGTGACCTTGAACAGAGGCTGGTTGACATAGACTTATATCGGGCTCGTGCAGAGGAGTTGGAAGTGGAAGTTGCTGAAATGCGACAAATACTTCAGTCTGAAAACACATTCCATAATGCAGAGAAACTGGTGCCAGAGTCCTTTTTTATTTCATTCAAAGAATCCTTGGAAAGGGAGCTTGCTCAGAGCCCTGCAGATGATGGACTCCTGACTGTCTCAGAGCTTGACAAGAAGGCCCTGAAAAGAAGCAACAGTGAAACTTTCCTAAGCAGTGCTGCAGGGGGAGACATTCTAAGGGGCCATGAGGAAACCTGTATCAGGAGAGCTGAAGCTGTGAAGCAGCGAGGAATCTCTGTACTTAATGAAGTTGATGCCCAGTACAATGCTCTAAAGGTGAAGTATGAGGAACTTTTGAAGAAGTGTCAGATGGATGAAGATTCTGTGAAACACAAGGCAGTGCAAACACTGAAGCAGTATTCCAAAGACCTTAACGTGGGGAATACCCAGTATGATCTTTCAGCTAGCCATCAAGAATTTACAAATGTGGAACTAAGTGACTCTCCCACAAATGCTCTTCCTGAATATAAAGCACTCTTCAAAGAAATTTTTAGCTGTATCAAAAAAACAAAGGAAGAAATTGATGAACACAGAGCTAAGTATAAGTCACTCTCTTCTCAGCCATAACACTGTACATGCTGATGACCCATTCTCTGTAAATGAGTAATCTGTTATTCAGAAGGGGGGGGGGAACTTTACAAGTGTCAGAAGGTCCCTTATATTGATGTATTTTTGAGCACTCTAAGTGAATGTTTTGAATTGACTTGTAAATAGGCAGTTAACAAGCTCACTAGTTAAGGGCTAGTCTCTCTGTACTTATGTTAGCAATAGATTTAATGTTTAGCACAGCCACACAAGCAAAAGGTTGTAAAGCAAACATTGCTTTATTTTCATTCTATATTTAATCTCTGGCCACAGCAGTAACTGAAAAATCTATCTTACTCAGTCCACTTCAAAAATAACAGATCTAAGAAATCTGTACTGTTCTTCTCACAAGAAACTGGACTAAAGCTTTGGGTCACAGGTGATGCCCTGTAAGTATGTTAGTGTAGAAAATAAACAAAAACAGAACCCCAGAACACTATTATGGGCAGCCTCTCCTTGATTCTTGAGTATGAAGTTAGCAGTCTAAGTCTAGCTGAACTTGCTTTGGCAGGGAGGTTGAGAGCTGGCACAGTACCTTGTACTGTGCTTAGTTCAAGCTAATGCCACATTTTCACATGCACTAAGCTCTCCCACAGATTATTGTAAATGTCTTCCTACTTACAAAAAAAAAAAAAATTGATGTAAAGTTTGTGTCTTTAGGTATGGTTTATTATTTAGGGCACTTTGTCTTAAAGCAAGATACTGTGAATTGATTATGTATGTTACCTGGGATTTATTGTTCTTTTTTGGTGGTATACCTGCAAAGTACATTTGTGTTTTTGTGTATTTGGTAAGATAGAAAGTTGCAATTTAGCTATTTAACTTTAGCAGTAGCATTGACATAGAATAGCTTTTTAGCTTACATACCACAAACTCCAAGTGCTTAAAGGTGACAGGCCTGGTAAAACCTTATAATATGGTTTTGTCTGTTGCTTCCAGCTTGAGTTCCATGTTGTTGGGGAGAGGCAGGGCTGACAACTCTGCCAGAACATATCCTACTGAAAACAGGGGACCGGCTCTTGTTCTTCCTCTCCTCTACTCCCTAATAATATTTTGTAGGGATTCAAATTCTGAAAAACAAGGAATATGGAGAAGTACTTTCTTTAAAATGGCTTCAAAATATGTTAAAATAAAGGCTAAGAGGTTAAGGGTGGGGGGGGGGGAAGGCACCCTGATAGGTGACGTTGTTCTTATAATGGGTCTCATAATTTTGTCATCTGTTCATGGAAATCAACTTAATGCCTGCCTGCTTAGGTTGCTGCAATGTACCAGACAGTTGACACAGTGTTGACAACTTCTCAGCTTTAGTTCAACTGCTGCTATTACAGTTTTGTCTGCCTTATGCATACTGTTAAGCTTTTGTATAGTTGTCCTTCAGTTGCAGTATTAAGACATCATATTGTGGGAATTTACCAAAACATGTATTGCATTCTAAAAACTATTTAAAAATGGGAATCTGAATTTTGTGAATATTTTTCTAAGCAAATAAATAATCCAGTCAAGCTACATGTGTAAGCTACTAATTATGCAATATCTATGCAGATCAGGAAACGGTATACTCAGTGCAGATGGCACCTTCATTATCTAGTGTTGCCATCTCTCCCAGATAGATAGTGTAACTTTTAAAATACAAATTTAATGGGAACTCCATCTGAGCTAACTGGGAAAGGATAGGCATGCCTGAGATAGAAAGCCAGAGGGAATTAAAAACGCTCTTCTCATTGTGGTGTTTGTCAGTACAGTTCTCATGTGTGTTTTTAAAACAAACAAACAAAAAAAAAAAACACAGCTCAAAGTTGTTCCCTATGTTAACTATATAGTCACTGAAGCTGGAGGCCTGCCCCAGTTCAGATACTAGAGAGCAGTAACCCTAACTGAAAGCTGCAGGACTGTTAGTCATCAACTAATTTACTACTACATTTAGGGGCATGGAGATCCAAGCCTGTACCAGAAGATATGGGAATGCAATTAAGAATTGCTGATTAAATGCTTGATCTTCAGTGGCTTCTTATTGTTGGCTAACTTACTGCACTTCTATATATACAGCTTTCGCCCTTTAAAACTATTTAAAATGTTCTCAGATTTTCCCATAGAACTACTTAATTCTCCTATAGTGTAACTTGCCCTCAGTCACCTGTGCTATTGCTAAGCTCTGGCTGTACTTTAGTACACTTTAACACTTAACTGTACATATCATGCAATAAAAAAGCCCAAGGCTGAGTTCCTCTTGCAGCTTCTCTGACTGTGGCTCTGCCAGGGAGAAGCTTTATGTGCACAGCTGTAGGTAGTACTACAGCAGCACAGCTGCACTAGGCAAGTCCCAGCCACAGGTGCACAGAACAAACCAAGACAAAGGCAGCAGGAGTTGCCTGAACCTAACCTCCTCCCAGTTATACTGACATAGTGTGTATAAATTAACTGCAGGAGAGCATTATGAACTAAGTTGGAGGTTTAGCTGTTTAAACACTGAGTACAGCTCTCACAGAAATGTGAAATGCTATTAAATACAGTAACAATAATATTCTTTGCCAATCTAGCTTAATCTCCTTATTTCAGTCAACAACTCCATTCAGCCTTTTCTGAAAATAAGTAGATGAAATCAGTAGAATTGCCTTTAGCTTCTCTCATATGATTGGAAATTATATTAAACAAAACTCATGAACAGTGCAGTAACCATGTTCTACAACTCTTAGAGGGGGTGGTTCCTTATATTATAACTGAACTTAAATGATAGACTTAGAAAAAGAGCAGTTACTGTACCTTGTGCAACAGGCCCTTATCTTGATAGCCACTTCTAGGCAACCCTAAAGAATATGATGCAAGCAGACTAATTTAAAAGGTAGCTTGCTATATACCTCTAACCTCTACTAAAACATTCCTGAGCTTTCCTGCCTTTACAAGCCTCCAAGTTACTGAAGGAGATAGGGCAGCTTCTGTTTCTTTGTGGAAGGATACAAGGAGGCTAGAGCAAGATGCCACAGTTGACCTTCAAGATAAAAGTTTATTTAAGAAATTACACAAAATATAGGTTTTACAGTGCTGCCAAGTGTGATAACTACAGCTGGATGCCTTCCAGGCAGTGTGTTCAGTTACTTACCTTGCTGTACCTGCATACAGTAATGCAAAATATCCCTCAAACAAAACCCACACCAATAAAAGGAATGCAGTAGTTATTTCCACATCTGTTTGAAACATAATTACTTTTCCAGATAACTCATTTCACAAACAACAGGCGAGAACATTTGCTGTGCAGTACAAACTTTAAAGACAGTGATGTTTCCCCCACCCATCCTGTCCCCTGGCCTGACAGTTTCATGAACATCACTCTTTTCTCTTTATAAAGATGGGTGCAAGGGCTATTTTAACACTCAGCCTAAAGTATGCGCATCTAGATATTTAACAAAAACTGGGATGTTTGTAAACAAATTTAATTTATTGGCATTACTTACAAAATAAAATATTAGACCATGATTTTCCATCATGTCTGTGTCAGTATATGGTTTTATTTCATTATAATGAAACAGAAAGAGAAGCAAAATACATTAGGAATCCCAGATTAATCAAACTGCAGATGGGGTCCCATGTTGTCATCCTAGTTGCTCTCTGCGCTTAGGCGGCCACGCAAACGTGTGTGAGTTATGTTGTGATGTCAATGACTTGTCTTTCTGCAATGGCCGCAGGACCCTAAGCAGGTCAGATCCTGCCCCGCGCTCCCTGAAGCCAAGGCATTACTCTGTCTATGGCGCCCACTGCAGATTTCCTCTTTTGTCCTGGAGATAATTTGAAGTAAAGACAGTCATACCACTGTTGTCAAGACTGCACCGTCCCTTTAAGATACCACATGCCGCCATAGCTTACACAGCAGTCCTGGGGAGAGAAGGGAGATGTCAACACACTGCTCGGAACCACAAACCCAGATGTTAGTGTCAAAAATAAATAATAATAAAAAAAAAACCAGTGCAACACGCACATGCCCCTTCACACAAAGGATCTGGCCTACCTCTCCTCTCTTATAGATGTATTTTTTTTTTTATACACAGCTGAGAGGAGAGGTAGGCCAGATCCTTTATATGTATATATCTACACACACACACACACAGAGTGTATATACTCATACTGGATCATCCCAGCCCTGTGTTATGTTGTACCTTAATCAAACTGTTCACGTGGGTTAGCCAGACCAGTTAAACCATGGGACAGAATCCCATAACCAAACAGGAAGCACTTCCAGGACCACACACTGTCCGTCTTGGGAACCCTGATTTGGTTTTGTGACAATATATATGATTAATAAGAAAGGTTCCCCCCCAGTGCACAAGAGAGAGCACAAATCCCAAGCAGTGGGTATCTGCCCCAAAAAGAGCGAACAAGCTTAAATTAAGATGACAGATGGAGCGGGAAGGTCAAGAGGCCACAAGCCTGACAAACGATGTGATGGCAGCAAGAAACCATGCTTTTTTTTTTTTTTCCCCCCCAGCAGGGGACAGAGGGAGAACATGCAGAAAACAACTTAGGAAAGGTTGAGGGGAAAGGTGAGGACAAGGGGAAGGGAGGAGGAAACACAGGCTGGCGCTCAGGTGAAGAGACTGAAGGAAGAAGAGGGCAAGGAGTGGAGCACAAAGCCTTTCACCAAAACTGAAGCCTTTTAAGCAACAGTCAGCTATAACGAACTGTCAGCAGTGGACAGAGGGAGAACATGCAGAAAACAACTTAGGAAAGGTTGAGGGGAAAGGTGAGGACAAGGGGAAGGGAGGAGGAAACACAGGCTGGCGCTCAGGTGAAGAGACTGAAGGAAGAAGAGGGCAAGGAGTGGAGCACAAAGCCTTTCACCAAAACTGAAGCCTTTTAAGCAACAGTCAGCTATAACGAACTGTCAAACCTCAGAACTGTACTTTGGTATTTTGATCACATGGTTGCTAAGCTTACAGCTGCTAAGTACCACAGCAGCGCTCAGTAAGTGGGTTTTCTTGTTTTCTTGTGGTTTGTTTCCTTATTTCTATTAAATGAGCACTAGTTCTCTTGAATTCTAAGTTAACAGCTTCTTTTTCTTTTGTTCCTGCTCTCCGCTTGGGTAATTCAACACAAACTGAAGTGCTGCTACAGAACTGATGCTGTCAAAGAGGAGGGAAAAAAAAGTTTGTTTTTTTTTTTCTCTCTGAAGGCTTAGGACTTGCACATCACAGAAGCCAAATGCTCTGCAAATATTTGTCCTTAATTCCTTTAAGTGTGGAGGCTAGAAAGAGTGCTTGCAGTCTCGATCTGTGATGCAAAAATACAAATGCCGTCAATCTGTTCCTCTATATATGAAAAAGGAACATATACAGATAAGGAAACAGGAGTCAACAACTCCAATTTCATTCAAACAGGAATCCAACCTCTCATGTTTAAAAGAAGCCAGAGAATTTTTCTATTTTGTTAATCATACTTTTTACATCTATTTCAGAAACGAAGGTCTCTTTCACATATTTCTGTGACACAAGTATTCAAGGCAAAGAAGTCTGACAACCTAAAGATTGGTTGCATGACGACTTATATTTGTAAAAACAGTATCTGTTTTTTTTTTTTTTAAAGTGTGTTTATTTTTTCCAGAAATAGATTTTCTGTTAAATGGCTACATCTACATGAAAACTAATGCAAGTACACTGTTCCGATAGTCTAGGAGAGCTGATATTTGAGCTAGATCTAGTCACTTGACACATCTCCTGACGCAAGCAAGCCATATGAAAGAAATCCTGTCCAACGGGCAGAAAACGTCTGAGCTTATTTTAGTTCTAAAAAGACCAGATTCTTTGAAGCAAGACGAGTTCGCTTATTATCACAGCAACAAATCTGTAATTTTCCAAATACGCTATTGTTCAGTTTACAGATCCCACCATAAAAAAGTACTTAATCACTTGTTTTATTGATGCAGATGATGGTGAGCAAAGACTCAGCAACAATGATTTAAGTATTAAATTACTTTTAATTATCACTTAACCTTAGTTGGCAGATTTCTACTTAACCGTCCTGCATTGCTTTAAAGCTTGCTGCTCAGCAGCCTGCATAGAGCCTGTACTTTAACCTTATACTCATTTAGAAAGCAAATGGTTATCGTCAAAGATAGAGACGACAGGATTCAAACATACATTCA